GTAGATTCTTGTAATCTGTTCCCCCTTTCACCCTCACCTTCTCTCCACGCTCCCAGTATCACCACTCTCACCACTAGTCCTGAGGGGTTCATCTGTCCTGGATTCCCTGTGTTTCCAGTTCCTATCTGTACCAGTGTACACCCTCCGGTCCAGCCGGATTTGTAAGGTAGAATTGGGATCATGATAGTCGGGGGAGGAAGCATGCAAGAACTAGAGGAAAATTGTATATTTCATCATTGCTACACTGCACCCTGACTGGCTCGTCTCCTCCCTGCAGCCCTTCTACAAGGGGGTGTCCAATTTCCCACAGATGGGCCTTGGGTCCCCACTCTCCACTCCCCCTCCTTCACAATGCTATGATTTTTTTTTTTTGTCTTTGATGCCTGATACCTGATCCCTTCAACACCTGTGATCTCACAGGTTGGTGTGTTTCTTCTATGTGGGCTTTGTTGTTTCTCAATTAGATGGCCCCTTGTTTATCTTCCAGCCTATAGGACCCCAGATTCTATGTCTTTTGACAGCCGGGCACCATCAGCTTTCTCCACCGCATTTGCTTAAGCACCTGCTTTGTCTTCAGCTATCATGTCGGGGTAGGCTGGTGTGCTTCTTCCACGTGGGCTTTGTTATTTCTTAGCTAGATGGCCGGCTGCTTGTTTATATTCAGGCCTTTAAGACTTCAGATGCTTTATCTTTTGGTAGCCTGGCACCATCATCTTTCTTCACCATATTTGCTTGTGCACCCATTGTCTTCAGCCATCATGCCAGGAAGGTGAGCATCTCAGACTGCTAAATTGTTAGAAAAAAGTGTTCTTGTGTTGGAGAGTACTTGAGCAGGGGCCTACTGTCCATCTGTTTCCTCAATACTAAACCTATAAATATATATACACAGATCTGTTTCCCTCTCCTCATATATAAATAATATTTACATCTGTATATGCCTATATTTAGATCTCTATAACTACCCTTTGCCTCCTAGTCTTTCCTATGTTTCTTTGTGCTTTCCTCTTGACTGCCTATCATGTTCAGCCATCATTTGTGCTTTAGGAATTCCTCTTGGTTACGTTGCCCTTCCAGACCTCTTGTACCCTCCTTGCCACTGATTTTGGATCACTTGTTGTTCCCTTGTCCCTGGGTTTGTTAACACCCACTTCCTCCCCTACACACACACACACCCCCGCCGCTTCCCCTTCTCCCATGTCCCCCTGGAACTGTCATCCCGTTGTTCTCTCTTCCAGCTTGTTTATCCCACCTTTCCCTTCCAGGTAGACATCCTATGTACCATCACTAGACTGAGTATAAGGAAGCAACAATAGAAAGTAAAATAATAGCTACAAAAACAACAACAACACATAAAAACCTTATGAGTAGTTCAGGGTCTATTTGTTGTCCTTTACGAGTGCTTTCCAGTCGTGTCTGATGGAGTGCCATGCCCTGGTCCCACATCTATCCATGGGGACTTCATTGCTCTGCTCCCCTTGGCCCCACCCCCCACCCCTCGCTGCTCTGCTGCATGCCCCCAGAGGCTAGTGAGCTCAGGGAAGGCACAAGTCCCGCTGTGTGTCTCTAGTGTTGTTCCCCATGGTGCTATGGGTCAATGAGGAATGCTGTGTCCTGTGGTGAGGCCTGCCTTGTGGTCATCTCTATGCATTGCTGTTCTGAGCAGGAACATTGTCCTCAGGGCTTGGTGAGCCAGGATGTGCTTCACTCTTCCCCCCCCCCCCTTTCCCCCCTCTTTGACTCCTGTGTGCTCTGACCAGACCAGTCCCTCTTCTTGAGCTGTAGCTTCAGTGCTGTCCTCTGAAGTGAATTCTGGGAGGGAGCGGGGTGCTGTCCACTTAGTTGGTAATGGGGCCAGACCCTCAAGCCTCTTGTCTTGGAGCATCAGGTTGAAGTCTGGTCCCTCTTTCCCTGTGGAGACACAATCAACACCCTCCCCCTGTGTGGGTTAGTGCCCTGTTCCCCAGGTACCCATGTCTTTTTTACCCCCTCCTTTTTAGTGGTCTCCCATATGTATTTCTTTCATCTCACTTTCAGATTATTTCTCATGTTCCTTATTTCTAAAAGTTATATAGTTTGTGGCTTTTTCCTTTTAATGTTACAGAAACTTTGATTTAGTGTATATGTTTTAATTTTTAAAATTTAACTCATTTGACAAAACCCAGTTTATTTACATCAAAACCAGAAAGGATCTATTAGGTAGTGTGGGGATGACAGACAGATACCATGTAATCCCTTTTGTTCTAGGGAATTTACAAATGACTTCCACCAACACTTCTGCACTGGGAGTATTTGTCTTGGTAGGCACATTGCTTACTCTTTTCTCTAAGATAGCAAGGGGAAGTGACAGCAGGCAAACTAATTTTGCTGTTCATTGAAGCAGGGAAGAGCAGAGATGCTACAATGGCAAATGCTTCCCATTTCCTGTCTGGCAGGCATCTGAGAGGGAGCCTGATGTTAAACCTCTTACAAGCCTTAGGCAGGATTTTTAAGAGCGCATGAAACCACTGGTCAGTGGTTTAACAAGTTGTCTATACTACACGGGAGCAAAGCAGGTTGTTTCCCCAAGGGCTGCAACATGTCTTCTCTTGCTAGTAAATTAATGAGTATTGATCCTCTCAATTCTGCATCTCCTCACATCCCCAGGCTGCAAACAAGACCTGGGAGCTGACAGCAAAATAGGTACCAAATCTTCTCTGTGTCCTGAGTCCATTGATAGAATTGGGGACTCGGTGTGAAACAGAGCATACTAGTGTGAGTCCAAGGTGATGAAAGCTAAGGACTGTGCTGTGACAGAACTATGTGCAAAGTTAGACGGAATCTGTGACTGTTACACTGATCTATTACTTTAACTGTCAAATTTTCATTTAATCACAATTTACTGTGAGATTAAGGGCAAAGACAATTTCTATTAACATTGTAGTTTTTCTTTATTTTTTTTAAAAACAAACACCACTTCAGGGGAGTTAAAAAACATTTTTGTTAAAATCTGGTGAGCACCAAGGATACATTGTATTTAGAATGAGGTAGGAAAGCCAGGCTATACTATTTCTTTTATATTATTCTATGTCTTTACAGGTTATTTGACTTCTACGTGAATTCATTTTTATTTTATTCTAATCTATTCTCTTTTCTTTTGTGCAGTGTTTTGGGGTTTATAAACTGGGGTTTATAAACAGCTTCTCAGATTAGTTGCTCAGCATATAGATTGAATAAGTATAGTGAAAGAAGGAATAAATATAGTGAAAGTGAATAAGTGAAGTATACTTATTGAATAAGTATATATACAATGCTGAAGCACATGTTTTCTAATTTGAAGCCACACATCGTTGTGTGAAAAGTTACTAGAGGATTAACACCACATGGTATTTTAAGGGACTATGCACAATATATGTGTTTACTACAATAGCCACAGGAAAAAATTATTCACATATAAGTGTGCCACGCAGTTTATACCCATGTTGATAAAGGGTCAGCTATACTTGTTTTTTATGTTAAAGTATGCAAAATCCCTCCCACTCCTCCTCCTCCTCTCCTTTCTAAATATTAACCTATCCTCCATTTTTAAATTTGTGTTACTTTAAAATGTTACATACACTTGTAATTTCAAATAACCAGTCATACAGAATGTAACTTTTTTTGATTGGCCTTTTTTGCCTTCAGCATATATATCTGAATATTCAGCCAATGTGTTGTTATAGTATCAGCAACTCATTCCTTTTGTTGCTGAATAATATTCCACAGTATAGATATACTAGTTTGTCTAATTCTTCACCTGTTGAATGACATCTAGGGCTATTAAAAAATAAAGATTTTATAATAAACATTGTATACAAATTTTTACATGAACAAAAGTTTATATTTATCAGTAACAATTGCCCAAAATGTAAATGCTGGATTATATCTTACATGTATTGTCTTCATATTGCATCAATCATGGTTTCTCTGTATTATTTTCTTTTGTTTATAAATGGTGATTAAAATAATACTAATGTGGACCTTTTAATAGTCTGATAACTTATATATATGGAAAATTAATCAAGTTAAGATCATTGATACCTGTATGGATTGTGATAAGAGTCGTATGAGCCCCTAATAAAATGATTAAAAAAGAAAAGATAATTGATACCCTTCTTATTGGTTCTTCATTTCCTTTAGTGTTAAATTCCTTATAGTGTCTTCATCATCATAAAGTCATTATTCCTAAGGAGCTCAGAACGTGTGTATCTCCTTTGCTGGCCCTACTTGCACGATCAAGCCATCACCACCAATCTAAACCTTCTGTCTGTCAGTCTCTTAATTCTCACTTCTGCCATCAAACTTCACACGGCAGCACTCACTCACTGCCAATCTCCAGTGACACTTTAGGACAGGGTAGAACTGCTCATGTGAGTTTCCGAGACAGTCACTCTTTATGGACTAGGAGGTCTCTTCTTTCTCCCGTGGAGCAGCAGCTGGTCTCTAATTGCTGACCTTGCAGTTAGCAGCCCAACTCATAACCAGACCATCTGGAGGTCTCCTTCAGCTAGCATAAAACCACACCCCAAACTCACTGCCCTCAAAGTGACCCTACAAGACATGGTAAAAGTACCCCAAGCCTTTAACTGGGAATAGAATGCCACCCTTTCTTTCATTTTTGTGTGTGATTACTTGCTTCATATTTGTCTTGTCTCTAACATTTAAATCTGTTGGTCCCAGATCGTTTGCTTTACTGGCCTCTAGGCTTCTGATTACAATATTCCATCTTTCTCAGGTGGGTGCTTGAGGCGGGATTCTCTCAGAATGAGCAGACCCCCCCCCCCAGCCTAAAGATTGGGGTTAGTTTTTACTATATTTGTACTTTTGGAAGCTGCCGTTTCCTGGCAGACATTAAAGGCTCAGTGTGTTAGAAATTTGAATGAATGGATGGATAAGTGATGTTACAGGTCTCCATATAAAGTAGATATTTGTTAAGAAGTATGAACAAAATGAGTGAATAACGTACATCTCTATTAATTTTTCAGGTGAATTTTGAAGTAATCACATCTGGACATCAAGGCTACCTAGCTATTGATGAAGTGAAGGTGTTAGGACATCCATGCAGTAAGTTGCCTCGATTTTTCTGAAAGCATTTAAATGTCTGGGTGTATCTATGTGAGCAATTCAGATGACAGGTGAAGAGAAGGCCCTAAAATCTAAGGGAACTCATCCATGGGAAGATGTCCCCTCATAAGTCTTCAGATATTTATTTGTCAGGCCCAGAGTCCTATAAAATGTGTGTTGTGTGTAAATGTATGTTCCCAAGTGCCTTTTCAAATGAAAATGAAGAATGTGGAATAGGGGAATGCTGTAGTATACTGAAAGAACTCATGTGGCATAGTGGTTATGCGCTGGGTGGCTAACCGTAAGGTCAGCAGTTTGAGACTACCAGCCAGTCAGTGGGAGTAAGATTAGGCTCTCTACTTCTGTGAGGGGTTACAGTCAACTCCTTGGCAGTGAATTTTGGTTTGTTGTACTTGAACTTTGTTAAGGATTTATACAATTATTGTGTAATCTTAATTTTCCTTCTGAATAATAGCCAGTGCCATTGAGTAAATTCAGATTCATAGAGGAGCCATAAGAATGACCTGTTTTACTTCTTTTAAAATTTAGTACGTTTAACATACAGTGGGTAATACATATCATTATATTTTAAAATACTTAATGTGAGCAACTATTAACAATTGGTCGTGCTGACATTTGAACTTATTTTCAACACTATTTCCCCCTCCTTCCAATCTCACCTGTCCCTATGGCCCACTGCTTTTCTGATCTTGGCTCTTACAATTTATAGTGTGCAGCACAAATATACTTTAGCTGATTTAAGCAGAGAGAAAACAGCAAAAAGTTTATTAAAAAGAAATAATATTTCTGGGAAGGTCCGTCAAAGGTACTGGCCAGGAAGCAGAGGAGAGTGTCTGTAGCCGATATCAGAGTGGACCTTATGCATTTATGCTGAGGAAGCTGCCTTTACTTGCCAGTGATTTAGCAGGTTCCTCACTGTCTCTGCCTTTTCATGGTCAGCCCAGGTTCAAACCCCTGAGTGTGGTTGGATTGTCATGTTGGGCAAGCTTGATCTTGTGCTCATTCCCCCTAGTGGTGGGTGGTTCAGGATAACAAGTTTTGTTTTTTTTCAACTTTGTGTTAGAATTGGGCCCAGAGTTTCACCAGGACATACAGAGTAAAGGCTTTTTCAACCCCAGAACAGAACATTGGCCATGGGTAAAAAAATCACTACAGATGTGTGTGTGTATGTTTATGAGTTTGTGTGTTAGTGTTTATGTGTGTCAGTGTTTATGTGTATTGTATATCTCATAATTACTATGTATTGGATGAAAGCAAGAAAGAAATGATGGCCTTTATAACTTCTGAAGAATGATCCCCAAATATATATGTCACTGTTACTCTGTGCCCTTTTGTTTTTCACTTAGTATTATAATGTTTATGTTTGTTGCTGTTAGGTGCCATCAAGCTGGCTCCAACCCATAGTAACCCTGTGCACAACAGAACAAAACACTGCACGGCCCAGCACAATCCTGAGAATTGCTCCTCTGCCCGAGCCTATTGTTGCAGCCACTGTATTACTTCTTCTTGTAGAGGGCCTTCTTAACTTTGCCAAACCTAATGCCTTCTTAGGGATTAGTCTTTCCTGACAGTATGTCCAAAGTATGTAAGAAAAAGTCATGCCATCCTTGCCGCTAAGGATCATTCTTACCTTACTTCTTCCAGTACATACCAGCTTGTCCTTTTAGCAGTTCTTGGTACTTGAAATATTTTTCTCTAGGAACACAATTCAAATTCATCGATTCTTCTTCAGTCTTCCTTATTCAGTGTCCAAGTTTCCCAGGCATATGATGCGATAGCGGATACCATGGCTTGTGTCAGGTGAGCCTTAGTCCTCAAAGCAACCTCCTTGCTTTTCAATACTCTAAAGAGGTCTCATGCAGCAGAGTTACCTAAAAGCATTACATCTTTTGATCTCTTAATAGCTGCTACCATGAGCATTGATTATGGAAAAACAAACACATTATTATATTTTTGAGGTCGATACATGGTATGATGCCATAAAATTATACCACAAGCTATTTTTTCTTCTCTATGAGTATTTAGGCTTCTTCATTTTTGTGTGATGAAATACTTTTCTGCAATGAATATGCTGCAGGTGCCTTTTGGTGTAACATGTGCCAGGGTATATTCTTAGAAGTAGATTTACTGGAGAGCAGGGTAGATACATTTTATATTTACTAAAATTTGCTGCCAAATTTCTATGAAAAGTGTTGGAGACAGTTTATTTTTCCACCAGCAACATATGGAAGTTTTATTTTTTTCTATATCTTTGCCCAAAATTGATATTGTCAGGCTTAAAATTTGTTACTATCTGATAGGTAGTAGCTTGCTTTATTTTTAGGATTCCTGGCATTAAAGAAAACTAGCTTTTTCATTCATTCTTAGGTATCTGCTTGTACTTCTTACAACCATTCTCTTCATCTTTTTGGGTGAGTATGGTGATACAAGAAATGTATCATATTTGTACTTCTAGGGACATGTCAGCGTTATACTACATTGGTTTGAATAGATCATTAGATCACCCTCAGTAATAGCTTCAGAAAAGACCTGCATGGTATTTTCTGATGAGCGTATTATAAGACAGTTGTCTGATCCCTTCCAAAGGAGTTGTGTTCTCTCTGCTTGGTATTTGCCACTCTGGAGTTGCCGCAGTCTCTGAGTTAGAGCACAGCAGTCAGCTTCATGACTAAGGCAGAAGTCATTTTTGTAGTCTGACACATTGCCTTTTCTTCTGTGTCAACAAGACATTATTTTTTTAAAGTGTCCTTCCTCTTTTTTATTTTTTTGGAAGTTCATGAAAAAGAGCAATGCTATATACCAAACTAAAACAGCAAGGCAAATTTAGGAACTGAAATATCATTACCTGAGTTGAAGCTTAGGAAAAATTCTAGTTTACCTTGGGCTTGGAAAAGTACCACAAGATATTCTAATGCCCATACTTGTGCCATCTTTGGACTTAACTTTCATTGTTGTTGTTTTTAGGTCCCATCTTGTCTGTCCCAACTCATAGTGACCCAGTGAAGACCAGAACAAAACATTACGCAGTCGTGTGCCATCCTCAACCATGGAGCTTACGCTTGAGCCCATTGTTGCGGCCACTGTGTCAGTGTACCTTGTCGAGGGCCCTCCTCTTGTTCCCAGCCTCCCTATTTGACAAAGCATGATAGCCTTCTCTAGAGATGAGTCTCTCCTGACAGCATGTTCAAAGTACATAAGGGTAGTTTTGTCACCCTTATTTCTAAGGAGCATCAGCACCATAATTCAAAAGCATCCTTATTCAATGTCCAACTTTCACATGCACATGAGACAGTTGGAAATGTCATTATGTCAGGCATACCTTAGTCCTCAAAGTAAACTCCTCACTTTTCAAAACTTTAGAGGTCTTGTGCAGCAGATTAACCCAATGCAATGTATTGTTTGATCTCTTGACTACTGCTTCCATAATCACTGAATGTGGGTCTAAGAAAAATGAAATCCTTGACAACTTCAATCTTTTCTCCATTTATCATGACGTTGCCTATTGGTCTGATTGTGAGGACTTTGGTTGGTTTCCTTTACACTGAGTTGTAATCCACACTGAAGGCTGCAATCCTTGATCTTTGTCATTAAGAACAGTGGTATCTGTGTGCCTGTTTTTTGCTAGAGTCCTTGAGTGGCACACATGGTTAAAGCTCTCTTAGCTATTGGCTGAAAAATTGATTGGTGAGGCCATCCAGAGGCACCTCAGAAACCCTAGGGGGCATAGATCTTCTCTGATGCCATGTGGCCACCATTTATCAGAATCAATTGAACTGGTCCTTAGTAACCTATGTTGACAAATGCTAGGTTTATTAGAGCCAACAGCACTGTAAGACAGGTACTATTGCTGCAAATAGCATAGATGTGATACTAGTGGCCAACGCTACACAGCTGCTCTGTATCAGAGCCAAGAGACTGACAGAAATCGACCATATTCTCTATCATGAGTAACCTGAGTTCTTCTTTCTAATCCTGCACGTTATTCCACATAGTAGTTTTTCAGTAAAATATAAGCCATTGTACTTAGTAAAGACCAGAGACTCAATGCCTGTCCTTCTTTCCAAGCTTCCTGATAGGTTCCTCCTATAGTTTTGTCCTTCCTTCAGAGCCCAGACTCCTGAGGTCACAGAAAACAGTGTAGGTGGTCTCTCCTTCGGAGAATGCAGGTGCTTATATGCACTTGGCTTTGAAAACTTCTATTACAAAATAGAAGTGCGAAACAGACTCTGTGCTGAGGTGATGTGTGGTGCAACAGCTTTTGATCTGGAAGTTTTAAATGCTTTGGATGATAGCTCTTCTCTACTTGACTTTTTTTTTACCTTTAAGTTTATGGGGAAAACATGGATAAAAATATTTTAAAGAAGGCAATAATTTGGTCTTAAAATTGGAAGCTTCCCAGGTAATATGCTAAGGCAGTCCCTGTAAAAATGCTAAGTAATAATCAATCACTTATTTCTAGTATGTATGCTCATTAACTTTAAATCATAAAAGAGCATAAATGCAGGTATTTTTTATCTAATACTTTCCTTTCCAAATAGTGGCAAATGTTGAACCTCATTAGTTCCCTATTAAGGCTCCTCTTTGGATTCAGATGGGTTTATGAGTCGACATTGGAAAAGTAGCTGTTCTGTAACTTGTACACAGTTGCTCATAAAATTAATTTTAATATAGTGACAATAAGATGCAAGATCAGCATGAATTGCAGAGAAGACTATGCAGAATCAGCATCTTGCTAGCTTAAGACCCACTTGTAATAAACATTGATAATTCTTGCATTTGGTATGCACACTGAAGTATATTTTGAATTTAGTTTAATAATATTGGTAGTAGAAACTGAACATGCATTTTACTAGCTTCATACTTTTGTCTCCTGTTTTTAAATAGGTGTGAAATATTTGTCTCTGGGCACCATTATTATTATCTTGTTCTATTGGTATATATTTCAGTACCTAGCAAGCCATACTATATTTTAAACAGTT